CAGGTACCCCTTCCCTCCCCATTCCCTGACTTCCCGGCCCCCTTTCCCCAGGCTTCCCTTCATTCCCTAACATTGACCTTCCTTCCCCCTTCCACATGCCCTTCCTGCTCTCCCCATCCCGTGCCCAGATGGACCCCCTCGACCCCTGATCCTCCCAGCCACACCATCCCAGATCCACCTAGCTTCCCCATACCCGATCCTCCCAGCCCCTTCACACCCCAGATCCCTTTTCCTAGACCCTCCCACCAAGGACACCCCTTGCCCCTACTCCAGTGGAAACAACAGAAACTGAGGATGGAAAGAAGAGAGTCAGTTTCGGGGTATTTTACTCAAACATAGATGGGATTACGAGCAAGGCAAGTGAACTTAGGGAAAGAGCTCAAAAAGGAAACACAGATGTAATCTGGGATGGGATCTGGGAATCTGAGAGCCCCGGCAATCTAGGATCCTAAATGTAACCAGGATGTAATCTGGGAATGCAACTAAGAACTTTGCGAGCCATTGTCTACCATATTTAATAAATCATTAGAGTCAGACAGAGTACCAGAGTGGTGGAAAGTTGCTAGTGTGGTACCAATTTTCAAGAATGGAGATAGATTGTTGACCAGACCACACACTAGAAAGTGAAGGGACGACGACGTTTCGGTCCGTTCTGGACCATTCTCAAGTCGATTGTGAATGGTCCAGGCGACACATTCTCAAGTCACAATCGACTTGAGAAACTTCCAGGACGGACCGAAACGTTGTCGTCCCTTCACTTTCTAGTGTGTGGTCTGGTCAACATACTTCAGCCACGTTATTGTGACTCATCGACTGCAAAAGAAGATAGATAACTTGCATCAAACTATCGGTCAATTAGTTTAACGTCTATTGAGGGAAAGTTACTTGAATCGATAAATGCAAATACCATTCGTCTTCATCTTGGTAAAATATAAATTAATAAATGATTCACAACATGGTTTTACAAATGGCTGTTCATGTTTAACAAATTTGCTATCATTTTATTCCAGCATAGTTGAGGCAGTTGATAGTGGTAAGGTTTGTGATGTTTTGTACTTTGACTGTAGCAAAGCATTTGATACAGTGCCACATGAAAGACATTAAAAAGTTAGAGGCTCACGGTTTTGGGGGTACTATATTAAATTGGATAAGGGCATGGCTATACCAAAGGAAACAAAGAGTTAGCATAAGTGGGGAAGTCGGAGGGAAAATGTTGTAAGTTGAGTGCCTCAAGGCTCTGTCCTGGGTCCTCTGTTATTCATAATATACATAAATGATTTAGATTCAGGTTTGAGCAGCATAAATTGTAAATTTGCCGATGATAAAAAAAATCGGGGGGGGGGAAATAAACACGGAAAAAGACTTCCTATTACTCCAAAACGATCTTAATAGGGTTTTGAAATGATCAAAAGATTGGCAGATGCAATTTAATGCTGACAAATGTAAATTTTTGAGGCTAGGTAATGATGATATAGTTACAAGATACGAGGTAGATGGTGTTGAGATTGAGAAATCGTATTGCGAAAGGGATCTGGGTGTTATGATTAATAAGAATTTAAAATCAAAATATCAATGCATAATGTTCGTAATAAAGCAAATATGTCACTAGGATTTAGTAATCGAACTATTACTAATAAGACACCTGGCGTTGTTCTTCAGCTATATCTTCCTATGGTTAGGCCCCATTTAGAGTATGCAGTTCAGTTTTGGTCGCCATACTAAAGAATGGATATAAATTCACTAGAACGCGTCCAGTGTAGGATGACAAAGTTAATCCTCCCAGATTAGAAACCTGTCATATGAAGAAAGATTGACAAAGCTTAAATTACATTCTCAAGAAAGGCGAAGAACCAGGGTTGACATGATAGAGGTGTACAAGTGGATGAATGGATATAACAAAGGGGATATGAAAAGGGTATTAAAAGTATCAACACATGACAGAACACGAAACAATTGGTATAAATTGGATAAGTTTTGATTTAGAAAAAACCTGGGTAAATATTGGTTCGGTAACAGAGTTTTGATTTGTGGAACCAATTACCGGGTAACGTGGGTGGCGGGTCCCTTGATTGTTTCAAGCGTGGGTTGGACATGTATATGAGTAGAATTGGGTGGTTATAAATAGGAGCTGCCTCGTATGGGCCAACAGACCTTCTGCAGTTACCTTTATTCTTATGTTCTTAATCGGACTCACGGAAGCAAAACTCTCCGGAATCATAATGAATGTGGTGTGTCACTAAGATCTATACAATAATAAGGAGAGAGATGGAAGGCAGAGGAGGTGAAGTGGCTCTACTAATAAAATAGGAAGGGAGTTACGTGGAGATGGCTATCTCAGGCTACGAGGGGTCCAGAGACTAAACAGGCACCATGACGATGGGAGGACTAAGAGTAGTTGTAGTAACCCTGGCAAGAGAATGACAGAAACAACATGGCAGTTAACACTAATTGAGAGAGCAGCCACTATTGCCTGTAGAACTAAATCCCATCTGCTCATCATGGGGGACTTCAATCACAGAAGGATAGACCGGGAAAACAAGGTACCCATGGAGAGCTAAACTGTTGGAAGTAGCGACAAGAAGCTTTTTAAGTCAACCTGTCAGGGAACCCACAGGAATGAAAAGCAACGATGAACCTGCGAGACTCGACCTAGTCTTCACTCTGAATGACTCTGACATAAGTGAAATCGATTTCGAAGCCCCAATGGGTATGATCGATCATAGCGTACTGATGTTTGAGTGTCTGGTCGAAGTAGGGTTAATGTACGCAATGAAGGGACCAGAGAACAAAAGGGTGGCATTCTGAAAGGGAAACTATGAGGTGATAAGAAAATTCTTATCAGATATACCATGGGAAACATAGCTCAAATGAATGATGGCCTAAGACATGATGGGCTACATCACATAGAAGTTTAATGAACCATCAGACTGGTTCTTCCCAGTCCAACTGGAGAAAAGTGAAATGCAGACGAGAAATCCATGATTTAATCAGAGATGTAAGCTAGCAAAGCAACTAAGTACAAGGGCGTGGAGAAACTATATAAATAACAGAACACTAGAGAGCAGAGTAAGATATCAGAGGGCAACGAATAAATACGTCTGGGTGAGAAGAGAGGCAGAAAGACAATATGAAAATGCAAACTAGACAAAGACGCAACTTAAATTGCTGCACAGCCACATAAGGAGAATAACAACAGTGAATGAACAGGTAATGAAACTGAGGATACGTGGTAGCCAAATTCACTACTGTCGACAAGGAAGTGTGCGAGGAACTCAATAAGAAATTCCAGGAGGTCTTCATAGTAGAGCAAGGAGAAGTCCCAGAGATAAGGGAGGGAATATCTAACCAAACACCACTAAATGAGTTTGTTATTACCAGTAGGGAGATAGGGAAGCATCTGCTAGAGTTGGATGTGACAAAGGCAGTAGGCCCGAATGGAATCTCACCATGGACACTGAAGGAAGGAGCAGAAGCACTGTGCCTGCCACTCTCCATAGTGTATAACAAATCACTGGTAAGAGGTGAAATGCCAAAAATTTGGAAGACGGCTAATGAAGTTCCGATATTCAAGAAGGGTGATAGACATGAGGCACTTTATAGGCAGATGTCCCTAAAGTGCATACCATACAAGATGATCGAGAAGATTGTGCGAAAACACTAGTGGAACATCTGGAGCGAAAGAACTTTGTAACACAACATCAGCTTTGTAACATTTGTTCAGGGATGACAAATCATTCCTCACAGGATTAGTTGAATTCTGTGACCAGGAAAAAATAGGCAAGAAAGAGAATGGTGGGCAGTCTGCATGTTTTTGGATTACCACAAAGCCTTTGAAACAGTACCATATAAGAGAGTAGTGCTGGAGATACAAGCAGGAGTGAAAGGGAAGGTACTCCACTGGATAAGGGAGTACCTAAGCAACAAACGACAGCGAGTCACTGTGAAAGGTTAGGTCTCAGATTGGCGAGACGTCACCAGTGGATCCCACAGGGATTAGTCCTTGGACCTATACTGTTTTTGAGATATGTAAATGATCTCCCAGAGGGTATAGACTCGTTCCTCTTAATGTTTACTGAGGATGCAAAAATTACGAGGAAGAATAAGACAGAGGAAGACAGTACGAGGCTACAAGATGACCTAGACCAGCTAAAGGAATGGTCCAACAAATAGCTAATAAAGTTCAACCCGAGTAAATGTTAGGTAATGACTCTAGATGCGGGAAATAGAAGGCCAGACACGGGATACCGAATGGGGGAGGAAGTTCTTCACGAAACGGACAGTGAAAAAGATCTAGGAATTGATCAAATGAATAACATCGGCGGCGTATGCGAGGCTGGATAACATCAAAACTGCCTTCAGAAACCTCTGTAAGGAATCTTTCAGAACCACGCATGTAAGGCCAATCCTGGAGTATTTGGTCCCAGCATGGAGCCCGTTCCTTGTCAAGTACATGACGAAACTGGAAAAAAGTTCAGATGTATGACACTAGGGTAGTCTCAGAACTAAAAGGCATGAGTTACGAGGAAAGGCTGCGTGTAATACACCTCTCATCGCTGGAAGACAAAGAGCATGGGGAGACATGATCACCATATACAATATTCCATGTGGAGTTGACAGGGTTGACAAGGATGGGTTTTTTAACACGGATTGCACAATCACAAGGGGACACAGGTGGAAGCTGAGTACCCAAATGAGCAAAAGAGATATTAGAATGAAATTTTTCAGTGTCAGAGTAGTTAGTAAATGGAATGAATTAGGAAGTGATGTGGTAGAGGCTGACTCCATGCATAGTTTCAAATGTAGATATGATAGAGCCCAGTAGGCTCAGAAATCTGTACATCAGTAGATTGACGGTTGCGTGGCGGGACCAAAGAACCAGAGTACAACTATGTGAGTACTCACACACTCGCACACACATACACTTCAATTCCAACTATTACACTATGTAGTTTCACCCAAACGACAATTATCCTGAACTAGGGACGTGGAGACGCTATATTTTACGTCCTGAAGGTCCTTTCGTCTTTTTGGGACACCTTGGAGGTCCGGGCATCCTTCTGGGACACCTTGGAGGTCCAGACATCCTTCTGGGACACCTTGGAGGTCCAGGCATCCTTCTGGGACACCTTGGAGGTCCAGACATCCTTCTGGGACACCTTGGAGGTCCAGACATCCTTCTGGGACACCTTGGAGGTCCAGACATTCTTCTGGGACACCTTGGAGGTCAGGGCATCCTTCTGGGACACCTTGGAGATCCAGGCATCCTTCTGAGACACCTTGGAGGTCCAGGCATCCTTCTGGGTCACCTTGGAGGTCCAGACATCCTTCTGGGACACTTTGGAGATCCAGGCATCCTTCTGAGACACCTTGGAGGTCCAGGCATCCTTCTGAGACACCTTGGAGGTCAAGGCATCCTTCTGGGACACCTTGGAGGTCCAGGCATCCTTCTGGGACACCTTGGAGGTCAGGGCATCCTTCTGGGACACCTTGGAGGTCCAGGCATCCTTCTGGGACACCTTGGAGGTTCAGGCATCCTTCTGGGACACCTTGGAGGTCAGGGCATCCTTCTGGGACACCTTGGAGGTCCAGGCATCCTTCTGGGACACCTTGGAGGTCCAGGCATCCTTCTGGGACACCTTGGAGGTCCAGGCATCCTTCTGGGACACCTTGGAGGTCCAGGCATCCTTCTGGGACACCTTGGAGGTCCAGGCATCCTTCTGAGACACCTTGGAGGTCCAGGCATCCTTCTAGAACGTCTTGGAGATTCAAGCATCCTTATGGAATGCCCTGGAAGTTCAGGCATCCTCCTGGGTCTCCCTGGAGGACCAGGCATCGTTTTGGGATGTACTGGAGGGTCACGTATGGCAACGTGGGACCCTCTAACACACATCAGCCTCAGAACATGCACGTTACGCTCCACGTAATTAACAACTTCATCAATAAACATGTATGGAAAGTCACGGTACTCATTATTTTGATTATTATTGAGAAAATCATTGAGTGACATGAGCATGATTCAAACTTGCATGCTGAGTACTCCCAAGCACACGCCTTAAATCTCTATCTTGAGATTATCTTGAGATGATTTTAGGGGTTAGCGTCCCCGCGGACCAGTCCTCGACCAGGCATCCTTTTTGTTACACACCCCGTGGGAAGCAGCCCGTAGCAGCTGTCTAACTCCCAGGTACCTATTTACTGCTAGGTAACAGGCCATCTGGGTGAAAGAAACATTTTGCCCATTTGTCTCCGCCTCCACCGGGGATTGAAGCAGGAACCTCAGGACTACGAATCCAGCTGTCAGGCGTCAGGACTAAGCCACTATATGCTGTAATGTAATCTTGGATCGATCTGAATGTTCTAGGGCTGAACTGAACTGAAATGAATGTTCTATTCTGAAATGTTCTGAAGTGAACACATAACCCGCCAGCACTGTGGCATAAAGGTCCCGCCCGCAACTCTTAATTTCTAATGCGCAAAGAAATCACATTAACGTAATATATCATGGACAAAATCAGTAGGAGCTTTGAGGAGGATTCGAACCTCAGGTGTAAGGCGTGTGCTTGGGAGTACCCAGACCATAGGAAGCATGGTTCCTACTGATTGTCTCATTATTATTATTATTATTATTATTATTATTAATATTATTATTATTAATATTATTAATATTATTATTATTAATATTATTAATATTAATATTATTAATATTATTATTATTAATATTATTAATATTAATATTATTAATATTATTATTATTAATATTATTAATATTATTATTATCTAATTATTTCTACTTATTGTAATAATTTTGTTCTCTTCGTTTGTAATGAAAATAAAACAATTTTTCATTGGTTTCAGATGAAATATTCGACTGCTTGTGTTATCATTTATTCCTTGGCATAACTGGATGAGCACATTTTCAATGTCATAATTTCGTATTTCTGACCTGTGAGGAAACTGGTTAATTGCTCAACTTCCTACTTAATTTAACTAAGACAGTTCAAACCCAAACTCCCCTCGTTAAATACGCCTCAACAATCTTCCAAGTTCCTCCTCGTGGTGTCTGCAAACAAGGAGTCTAGTTCCTGTCATCAGACTGCCAGAGTATTCACAGAGTTCAATGGACTCTAAAACTGCCGTTTTAATCGATTCTTTCCTTCCATGCGGAGCGAAGTCAATTTAAACCGTCTGTATATTTCTCTGGCCGCGGGTGCTGGCTAGATATATGAAGGGAACGCCCATTGGTGCGTGTTTACTTGATTTTATGAATAAAGTTGAAGAGTCACTGGTGATTACAACTTTTAAATTCGTTTTTGTTAGTCTAGACTTCAGAAAGGGAGCTAAGGAAGCGGGCAAAGCCCAACCTGTCCTCTTAAAAAGAACGTCGCTTTTGGCCGTTTGCCCGTATGACCGAATTTGGACGTAATTTGAAATTGAGAAAAAAATGAAAATAAATTTGGGATTTTTTTTTTTTATCAACAACAGTAAGTTAAGGGTCCTCTGATAGGTTAGGTGGGCAGGAAATTCTCATAAAGTTTCAAAACGTTATGAAAAACGTGAATTTAAAGTGTCCTCTTATAACCTCTACGCGTACGCCGGCCGACTCAAATAGAAAACGGAACAGAACGTCACTTTTGTGAGTCGATTTCATTTCAAATTACGTCCAAATTTGGCCATAGTGCGCATACCAGCAAAAAGTGACGTTATTTTTAAGAGGACGGGTTGGTGGCTTATCCCATGCCATCCCCAAGCCCCATACCAATTGTTTCTTAGGGTATAGTCTTATACCTAAGGGGGAAGACTTACACCTAAGGAGTCTTATACCTAAGGGGGGGACTTATACCTAAGGAGACTTATACCTAAGGAGACTAATACCTAAGGAGACTTATACCTAAGGAGACTTATACCTAAAGAGACTTATACCTAAGGAGACTTATACCTAAGGAGACTACTACCCAAGGAGACTTATAACTAAGGGGGGCCTCTATACTCCTCCATAAAACATAACCCTCTGGTACTTGGTTTTAATATAGTTGTTATGGAACATGAGCTTGGATACGATGACCATTAAGTGTTAACATTGTTTCAGGAGCATAACTATCTGGACACCGGCGCCGTTCAAACTGAAATGGTTTAGTTGAATTAAAGAACCGCAATATGAACGCTACATCACAATCATAACTAAATGCCGCTTTTATTTTATTTATGTATAAAATAATTTTCACATGTTTGTAAGGCCAATAAACCACCCTTTCTCAAGGTAGTTAACAAATGGATTGTATTTAGGCAATGATGTGGTGGAGGCAGACTCCATACACAGTTTCAAATGTAGATATGATAGAGCCCAGTAGGCATAAGAGTCTATACACTAGTTGATTGAAAGTTGAGAGGCGGGGCCAAAGAGCCGAAACTCAGTCTCTGCCAGCACAACAAAGCACAACACTCTGCCTGCCAAATCTTTTAACAACCCGATACCCATTCAGTGCTGGATGAACAGAAGAATAAAGTTAAGGATTGGCGCCTAGTTAATCCTCCCGCGACAGGATATGTACCCAGGCCAAATCGTTCGCGAAGCGCGAGCGAGTGTCTTACCCATTGCGCCACGAGACTGCTGCTTCTAGGTGTATTTGTCTGGTCACACGTTTTTATGACCGGGTAAACTGTAAACATGGTGGTGGTTCGAGACCTCATGACCGGGTTGACTGTCAACACAGTGGTGGGTCCAGACCCATGACGGGGTTGAATGTTAACACTAACGGTTCCAACACAGTCAGTGGCAGCCTGTCCTCCAAACAAAGGCCCAAGTGATTACATACACCTGCCAAACACCCCTCTCTATGCAACCCGTCCTTGACTCAAATCCATTACATCCATTTACTAACTACTCTGACACTGAAAAAGTTCTATATAATGTCTCTGTGACTCATATGGGTACTCTGTGTCCACCTGTGTCCCATTGTGCGTGTACCACCCGTGTCAATAATCCATCCTTGTCTAACCTGTCAATTCCTTTGAGAATTTTCTTTGTGATGATCATGTCTTCCCGAACTCTTCTGTCTTCCAGGGACGTGAGGTGCATTTCATGACGCCTTTCCTCATATCTCATGCCTCTAAGTTCTGGGACTAGTCTAGTGGCATTCTTCTGAAATTTTTCCAGCTTCGTCTTGTGCTTGACAAGGTACGGAGTCCATGCTGGGGCAACATACTCCAGGACTGCTCTTACGTACAATACATATTGCATGGGTTGCGTGACGTGTGTGGGCAGCTTGACGTGTGTGGGCAGCGTGACGTGTGTGGGCTGAGTGACTTGTGTGGGCTGAGTGACGTGTGTGGGCTGCGTGATTTGTGTGGGTTGCGTGACGTGTGTGGGCTGCGTGACGTGTGTGGGCAGCGTGACTTGTGTGGGCTCCGTGACGTGTGTGGCCTGCGTGACTTGTGTTGCCTGCGTGACTTGTGTGGGCTCCGTGCCGTGTGTGGCCTGCGTGACTTGTGTTGCCTGCGTGACTTGTGTGGGCTCCGTGACGTGTGTGGCCTGCGTGACTTGTGTTGCCTGCGTGACTTGTGTGGGCTCCGTGACGTGTGTGGCCTGCGTGACTTGTGTTGCCTGCGTGACTTGTGTGGGCTCCGTGACGTGTGTGGCCTGCGTGACTTGTGTTGCCTGCGTGACTTGTGTGGGCTCCGTGACGTGTGTGGCCTGCGTGACTTGTGTTGCCTGCGTGACTTGTGTGGGCTCCGTGACGTGTGTGGCCTGCGTGACTTGTGTTGCCTGCGTGACTTGTGTGGGCTCCGTGACGTGTGTGGCCTGCGTGACTTGTGTTGCCTGCGTGACTTGTGTGGGCTCCGTGACGTGTGTGGCCTGCGTGACTTGTGTTGCCTGCGTGACTTGTGTGGGCTCCGTGACGTGTGTGGCCTGCGTGACTTGTGTTGCCTGCGTGACTTGTGTGGGCTCCGTGACGTGTGTGGCCTGCGTGACTTGTGTTGCCTGCGTGACTTGTGTGGGCTCCGTGACGTGTGTGGCCTGCGTGACTTGTGTTGCCTGCGTGACTTGTGTGGGCTCCGTGACGTGTGTGGCCTGCGTGACTTGTGTTGCCTACGTGACGTGTGTGGGCAGCGTGACGTGTGTGGCCTGCGTGACGTGTGTTGCCTGCGTGACGTGTGTGGGCTGCGTGACGTGTGTGGCCTGCGTGACTTGTGTGGGCTCCGTGACGTGTGTGGCCTGCGTGACTTGTGTTGCCTGCGTGACGTGTGTGGGCTCCGTGCCGTGTGTGGCCTGCGTGACTTGTGTTGCCTGCGTGACTTGTGTGGGCTCCGTGACTTGTGTGGCCTGCGTGACTTGTGTGGGCTCCGTGACGTGTGTGGCCTGCGTGACGTGTGTGGGCTGAGTGACTTGTGTGGGCTCCGTGACGTGTGTGGGCTCCGTGACTTGTGTGGGCTCAGTGACGTGTGTGGCCTGCGTGACTTGTGTGGGCTGCGTGACGTGTGTGGGCTGCGTGACGTGTGTGGCCTGCGTGACTTGTGTGGGCTCCGTGACGTGTGTGGCCTGCGTGACTTGTGTGGGCTGCGTGACGTGTGTGGGCTCCGTGACTTGTGTGGGCTCCGTGACGTGTGTGGGCTGAGTGACGTGTGTGGGCTCCGTGACTTGTGTGGGCTCCGTGACTTGTGTGGGCTCCGTGACGTGTGTGGGCTGCGTGACGTGTGTGGCCTGCGTGACTTGTGTGGGCTCCGTGACGTGTGTGGGCTCCGTGACGTGTGTGGGCTCCGTGACTTGTGTGGGCTCCGTGACTTGTGTGGGCTCCGTGACTTGTGTGGGCTCCGTGACTTGTGTGGGCTGAGTGACGTGTGTGGGCTCCGTGACGTGTGTGGGCTCCGTGACTTGTGTGGGCTGAGTGACGTGTGTGGGCTCCGTGACTTGTGTGGGCTCCGTGACGTGTGTGGGCTCCGTGACGTGTGTGGGCTCCGTGACGTGTGTGGGCTCCGTGACGTGTGTGGGCTGCGTGACTTGTGTGGGCTGTGTGACGTTTGTGCCTTGTGTGACGTGTGTTAGCTGCATGACGTGTACTCACTTAGTTGTACTCACCTAGTTGTGCTTTCGAGGGGTTGAGCTCTGGCTCTTTGGTCCCGCCTCTCAACCGTCAATCAACAGGTGTACAGGTTCCTGAGCCTATTGGGCTCTATCATATCTACACTTGAAACTGTGTATGGAGTCAGCCTCCACCACATTGCTTCCTAATGCATTCCATTTGTCAACCACTCTGACACTAAAAAAGTTCCTTCTAATATCTCTGTGGCTCATTTGGGCACTCAGTTTCCACCTGTGTCCCCTAGTGCGTGTGCCCCTTGTGTTAAATAGCCTATCTTTATCAACCCTGTCGATTCCCTTGAGAATCTTGAATGTGGTGATCATGTCCCCCCTAACTCTTCTGTCTTCCAACGAAGTGAGGTTCAATTCCCGTAGTCTCTCCTCGTAGCTCATACCTCTCAGCTCGGGTACTAGTCTGGTGGCAAACCTTTGAGCCTTCTCCAGTTTAGTCTTATGCTTGACTAGATATGAACGCCATGCTGGAGCCGCATACTCCAGGATTGGTCTGACATATGTGGTATATAATGTTCTGAAAGATTCCTTACACAAGTTTCTAAAGGCCGTTCTTATGTTAGCCAACCTGGCATATGCTGCTGACGTTATCCTCTTGATATGAGCTTCAGGGGACAGGTCTGGCGTGATATCAACCCCCAGGTCTTTCTCTCTCTCTGACTCTTGAAGTATTTCATCTCCCAAGTGATACCTTGTATCTGGTCTCCTGCTTCCTACTCCTATCTTCATTACATTACATTTGCTTGGGTTAAACTCTAACATCCATTTGTTCGACCATTCCTGCAGCTTGTCCAGGTCTTCTTGGAGCCTCAAGCTGTCCTCCTCTGTCTTAATCCTTCTCATAATTTTGGCGTCGTCAGCAAATATTGAGAGGAATGAGTCTATACCCTCTGGGAGATCATTTACGTATATCAGAAACAGGATAGGTCCAAGCACAGAGCCCTGTGGGACTCCACTGGTGACTTCCCGCCATTCTGAGGTCTCACCCCTCACTATAACTCTCTGCTTCCTATTGCTTAGGTACTCCCTTATCCATTGGAGCGCCCTACCAGTTACTCCTGCCTGTTTCTCCAGCTTATGCATCAACCTTTTATGTGGTACTGTGTCAAAGGCTTTCCGACAGTCCAAAAAAATGCAGTCCGCCCATCCTTCTCTTTCTTGCTTAATCTTTGTCACCTGATCATAGAATTCTATCAAGCCTGTAAGGCAAGATTTACCCTCCCTGAACCCATGTTGATGGGTTGTCACGAAGCCTCTTCTCTCCAGATGTGTTACTAGGTTTTTTCTCACAATCTTCTCCATCACCTTGCATGGTATACAAGTTAAGGACACTGGCCTGTAGTTCAGTGCCTCTTGTTTGTCACCCTTTTTAAATATTGGTACTACATTAGCAGTCTTCCATACTTCTGGTAGGTCTCCCGTTTCCAGTGACCTACTATACACTATGGAGAGTGGCAAGCTAAGTGCTCCTGCACACTCTTTCAATACCCATGGTGAGATTCCATCCGGCCCAATAGCTTTTCTCACATCCAGCTCCAATAGGTGCTTCTTGACCTCATCTCTTGTAATTTCGAACCTTTCCAAGGTCACCTGGTTTGCTGCCACCTCTCCTAGCACCGTGACTTCTCCCTGTTCTATTGTAAAGACCTCCTGGAACCTTTTGTTGAGTTCTTCACACACCTCTTTGTCATTCTCTGTGTACCTGTCCTCGCCCACCCTAAGTTTCATCACCTGTTCCTTCATTGTTGTCTTCCTCCTGATGTGACTGTGTAGTAGCTTTGGTTCGGTCTTGGCTTCATTAGCTATATCATTTTCATACCTTTTCTCAGCTGCTTATCTCACACTAACATACTCGTTCCTGGTTCTCTGGTATCTCTCTCTACTTTCTGGTGTTCTGTTATTACGGAAGTTCCTCCATGCCCTTTTCTTCAGCTCCTTTGCTTTCATACATTCCCTATTAAACCACGGATTCTTCCTTTGCTTCTCTGTTTTTTTCCTGTTGGGCTGGGACAAACCTGTTTACAGCCTCCTGACATTTTTGGGTGACATAGTCCATCATGTCTTGTACGGACTTGGTTCCGAGTTCTGTGTCCCAATGTATATCCCATAGGAATTTATTCATCTCCTCATAGTTTCCCTTTCGGTACGCCAGCCCTTTGTTTCCCAGTTCTTTTTTGGGGGTGATAATTCCTAGCTCAACCAGGTACTCAAAGCTCAGTACACTATGATCACTCATTCCCAAAGGAGCTTCCAACTTAACTTCCCTTATATCCGACTCATTTAGGGTAAATATCAGATCAAGCAAGGCTGGTTCATCCCCTCCTCTCGTTCTTGTCGGTCCCTTGACGTGTTGACTTAGAAAGTTTCTTGTTGCCACATCCAGCAGCTTAGCTCTCCATGTGTCTGGGCCTCCATGTAGGTCTTTGTTCCCCCAATCCATCTTTCCATGGTTGAAGTCTCCCATGATTAGTAGCCTGGATCCGTTTCTGCTAGCCACAGAAGCTGCTCTCTCTATTATATTGATGGTGGCCAAGTTGTTTCTATCATATTCCTGTCTGGGTCTTCTGTCATTTGGTGGGGGGTTATATATGACTACTACTATAATTTTCTGTCCTCCAGTTGCTGTGGTGCCTGATATGTAGTCACTGAAACCTTCACAGTTCTGAATTACCATCTCTTCGAGACTCCAACCTTCTCTTAGTAGCAAAGCTACAACACCTCCTCCTCTCCCTTCTCTCTCTTGTGACGTGGGCTGTCACGCAGCCCACGTGTGTGGGCTGCGTGACGTGTGTGGGCCTGTGTGACGTGTGTGGACTGCATTAGGTGTGTGGCCTGTGTGATGTGTGTGGGTTGTGTGACGTGTGTGGCCTGCGTGACGTGTGTGGTCTGAGTGACGTGTGTGGGCTGCGTGACGTGTGTAGGCTGCGTGACTTGTGTGGGCTGTGTGACGTGTGTGGGCTGTGTGACGTATGTGGGCTGTGTGACTTGTGTGAGCTGAGTGACGTGTGTGGGCTGTGTGACGTGTGAGGTCTGTGTGACGTGTATGGCCTGTGTGACGTGTGTGGCATGTGTGACGTGTGTGGGCTGCATGACGTGTGTGGGCTGCGTGATGTGTGGGCCTGCGTGACGTGTAGGGCCTGTGTGACATGTGTTGACTTAGTGACGTGTGTGGGCTGCGTGACGTGTGTGAGCTGTGTGACGTGTGTGGTCTGAGTGACGTGTGTGGGCTGCGTGACGTGTGAGGTCTGTGTGACGTGTGTGGCCTGTGTGACGTGTGTGGGCTGCATGACGTGTGTGGGCTGCGTGACGTGTGTGACCCTTCTGACGTGTGTGGACCTGCGTGACATGGGTGGGCTGTGTGACGTGTGTAGCCTGTGTGACGTGTGTGGCCTGCGACACGTGTGTGGCCTGTGTGACGTGTGTGGGTTGTGTGACGTGTGTGGCCTGTGTGACATGTGTGGCGTGTGTGGGCTGTGTGACGTGTGTGGGCTGCGTGACGTGTTATCCTAAGTGACGTGTGTTGCCTGTGTGACGTGTGTGGTCTACGTGACATGTGTGGCCTGTGGGACGTGTGTGGCCTGCGTGACGTGTGTGGGCTGAGAGACGTGTGTTGAATGCGTTACGTGTGTGGGCTGCGTGACGTGTGTGGGCTGCGTGACCTGTGTGGGCTGCGTGACGTGTCAGGGCTGCATGACGTGTGTGGCTTGTGTGACGTGTGTTAGCTGCATGACGTGTGTGGGCTACGTGACGTGTGTGGGCCTGTGTGACGTGTGTGGCTGAGTGACGTGTGTGGGCTGCGTAACGTGTGTGGCCTGTGTGATGTGTGTGTGTGTTGTGCAAAGTGTGTGGCCTGCGTGACGTGTGTGGGCTGAGTGACGTGTGTGGGCTGTGTGACGTGTGTAGGCTGCGTAACGTGTGTGGCCTGTGTGACGTGTGTTTTTCCTGTGTGACGTGTGTGGGCTGCGTGACGTGTGTGGGCTGAGTGAAGTGTGTAGGCTGCGTTACGTGTGTGACATGTGTGACGTGTATGGGCTGCGTGACGTGTGTGGGCTGCATGACGTGCGTAGCCTGTGTGACGTGTGTGGGCGGCGTGACGTGCGTAAGGTGAGTGACATGCGTGGGCTGCGAGACGTGTGAGGGCTGTGTGACGTGTGTGGGCGGCGTGACGTGTGTGGGCTTTGTGACGTGTGTAGTTTGCGTGACGTATGCGGCCCTCGTGACGTGTGTGGGCTATGTGACGTGTGTAGCCTGTGTGACGTGTTTGACGTGTGTGGCCTGTGTGACGTGCGTGGCCTGTGTAACGTGTGTGGCCTGTGTGACGTGTGTGGGCTGAGTGACTGAGTAACCTGTGTGACGTGTGTGGGCTGTGTGACGTGTGTGGCCTGCGTGACGTGTGTGAGCTGAGTGACGTGTGTGGGCTGCGTGACGTGTGTGGGCTGCTTGACGTGAGTGGGCTGCGTGTCGTGTGTGGGCTGCTTGACGTGAGTGGGCTGCGTGACGTGTGTGGGCTGAGTGACGTGTGGGGCCTGTGTGACGTGTGTGGCCTGTGTGACGTGTGTGGCCTGTGTGACGTGTGTGGGCGGCGTGACGTGTGTGGGCTGTGTGACGTGTGTAGTTTGCGTGACGTATGCGGCCCTCGTGACGTGTGTGGGCTATGTGACGTGTGTGGACCTACGTGACATGGGTGGGCTGTGTGACGTGTGTAGCCTGTGTGACGTGTTTGACGTGTGTGGCCTGTGTGACGTGTGTGGCCTGCGTGACGTGTGTGGCCTGTGTGACGTGTGTGGGCTGGTTGACGTGTGTGGCCTGTGTGACGTGTGGGGGCTGTGTGACGTGTGTGGGCTGGTTGACGTGTTATCCTAAGTGACGTGTGTTACCTGTGTGACGTGCGTGGCCTGTGTAACGTGTGTGGCCTGAGTGACGTGTGTGGGCTGAGTGACGTGTGTGTCCTGAGTGAC